CCTGTGCCGCCGAGTCAGCAGGGCCCGGACCCAGGCCTCTCCCCCGGTGGGGAACTTCCTGTGGTAATGGGCCTAACAAGTCCTAAGCTTTCTGCTGACAGTCTGGGTTCCTCATGAGCGGCACATGATTTTCCCATACTCCTTGGGGCTTTTACTGAATCATTGTCTTTTCCAGTTCTATCCGACTCCCCTGCTAGGGAAAAGTTTCCAGCGAGGGCAATGACTTTTTCTGGTGCAGTGACTTGGGTAAGGACACAGAACATCAGGAAGGGGAACAAGTATGGGAAGAGGGACTTGCCATATGCCAAGTCCCATGGAGCATTGGCTGTGCAGATGTCTCCTCCTTGAAGGACTGTGTCAAGCAGCAAGGACGGAACGGCTTTGGGCACAACTATGTGCTCTTTATCAAATTTCAGTGCTCATCTTAGGCAATACTTCCTTTGTAAGCCTTCTCTAATCTCCTGTCTCCTTTTTTTCTTCACTCTCTATTGCATTTATTTCAATGGTCTCCAGTGTCACCTTATCCTTTCTTAATCATAGCACATATCACACAATTTGATAATTGCTTATTAAGGTAATCTTTTTCTACATTAAAATGAATATTTAGCTAAGCAAAATAAGCCAGTCAGAGAAAGACAAGTATCACATGATCTCACTTATGTGTGGAATCTAATGAACAAAATAAACTGATGAACAAAACAGATCCAGAGACATTGAAACATGCTACAAACTGACATATTTCAGAGGGAAGGAGTGGGGGCAGGAAGAGAAGAACTTATACGCATATAGGCATAGCCCATGGACAAACAATAGTGCAGGGAAGGCCTGGGGAAGGGGCAGGAACAGGGTGGAGGGAGTCAATGGGGGAAAAAAAAGGGGCATTTGTGGTACTTTCAACAATAAAGATTCAAAAAAAAGAAAATAAATGAGTATTTTGTTTATATTTGTTTTCATAATATCTAGATTTTCTATGGTATATGAGTTAAATAAACTTGTTGAGTAGGTCAAGTCCCATTTCAAATAACTTCTCTGATAAAACAGCATGAATATAAAAGAATGCATGAGCCTACACATTCAGCTTATGTGCTAAAAATAAAAGAAAGGAAGGAAAGATGAGAGGAAGAAAAGAAAGGAAGTAGAGAAAAGACAGACAGAAAGAGGGAGAGAGGAAGGGAAGGAGGAAGGGAAAGGGGGAGAGAGGGAAGAAAGAAGCATTTTGTTTGGCCAACATTCTACTCTATTGAGGATCTTTTTGTAGTGAAATCTCTTCAACTCCACTTCTGAATATTATGTGGACATGTTATTTCGACTTCAGCGGACCAATGTGTTTCCTTAAGTATAATTTCCCTCCCCAATTATCATGATTATCTTTTGCTACATTACAAACAAATCAAAACTTAGAGTGTTGGGTTGACTGAGCTCAATTTAATATTCTCACTTTATGTTTTCACATGGGTGCATGACAAAAAAAGGGCTGCAGATGGATTCTCAGAAGGTTCAAAAGGATGGACAGCACCCAATATTGCTTCTTCACTGACAAGCCTCGTGCTTCTGTTCTCCTCCCTTGGGTCTCTCATCCCTTAAAATTAGCCTGTGTTTCTTACCCGGTGTTTCAGGGCTCAAAAGATAAAAAACAGAAGCTGCTAGGTTAGATATGGTCTGCATCCAAGACTTACACAGCATCACTTCTGTAGTATTCTGTTGTTCAAAGCAGTCATAGGATTTGACCAAATTCAAGGGGTTGGGAAGCAGACTCCTGCTGATTACATTGCAGAAGAACATGAAATTTAGAAGATATTGTTATAGCCATCATTGATAAATACAGTCTGGAATGGTTCTTCTCAGATGCAACATACACTCAGACCTCCTCCAAACTTCCAGGTCTCACTCCATGATGGCATTCTATCAGAATTTCATCATCTAAATCATATTTAGGTGTAGCTGAGGCTTCATGAGTATGATCCTTTAGATGTAGTTCTTGGAATATGGTTTCTTTTTCTCTGAACACCTATTAACTGAAGGGATAAGTCATTTGCCTCTCACATTGCCAACATACAATGTTAATACAGCAAAAGGATAACTGCAAAAACACTCCCATTCCAAAGAGGGAAAAAAGTGGAACCTGCAGTTACTGGTTCACAATATACTGAAATTTAAGGCACATATTGCTAGTTTCTTGATTCAGGGGTTCTATCTTTCCCCATGAGGATAATTTTATTTCTCTTTATAGTTCTGGTTTTACCCTCTAAGATCTAGGCTCTAGACTTCGAATTATCATTCACTTTCTTTTACAAAAAGTCTCCCGTTTTCACTTCATCTTTCTAAGCCTATAGGTTGGGGATCCCAATGATTCTCCTCATTTTCAGCTGTCACTGTTCTTTTTAGTCTAACCTGGCAGTTCTTTTGAATAATAAGGAATCTTAAAAATACTTACTTTTTTTCCAGAGGCCAGCTCTTTAAGAGTATATAAGGCTCAACCGAAACATCAGCCTGCTCCACCCAGAGAAGCACAATTTGTGAGAACCAATGGAAAGGACCTTGAGCTGCTGGAACCCATTCTCTATGAATTCATGGCATGATAAGTGTAAAAAAAAAACAAAACAAAAAAGGCAGACCTCTGTACTCATAAAAGTGTTTCTCTTAAGAGTGTGGTGTCCCTTCCCCCCCAAAAAAAATTTAAAAAAACTGTGCCCTAACAAAAAGAGTATATAAATATATACAAAAGAAGTAAATGAGAAACAGTTTTGTATTCAACTTAGAAATATCATAAACCTTTATGGTTTCTCTGAGTTCTACTTGAAAGTTAAACACTTCTTCAATGCATCTTTTTCTATACATATTTTATTAGATGTGGTACTTTCAACATTCTCTGGAAATGTTCATTGAATATATTTTTTAATTTCGTACATGAGAAAAGATGACAGTTTTGTCAATTGTTCCACCATCACAAAGAACAGATCCCTCTATTCTCTTGCACATAATAACAATTTTGTCACTCTATTTAAAGCCTTCATTAACATTGGTACCTTTAAGCTTTTGTCTATCTACTCTCAAAGCCAAGACTGCATGTTTAAGGTTTTTGCTACAGAATCCAACTCCTGATGTAATTTTTTCCTTACATTTAAGTATTGTTGTGTAATATGACACCCTAACATTGAATGGTTTTAAATAATAGTTTATGATTCTTTTTCCCTTCAAAGGTCTGTTGATTGCTTGGACTCAGCTGTGGAGTTCTCATTTGGAGTCCCTCAAGCAGTCGCAGGTAGTGTTTGGAATGGGAATGCAGACCTGGGTACAAGGTTTCTTTTTGACCCAGATGTCAGACACCTCAGTCCACCTCCACACTGAGTGCTGTTCCATCAGAGTAGAACCCCAGGGAGTTCTTACATGGTGGCATGAAAATAAGAAAAGGTATGGTATCAGTTAAGGATTCTGCCAAAAACTGGCACAGATTGACATATGTTGTACTCATAGGAGTTGCAGGGCCTCCAACTTATTGAAGGGTATAAAGAAGAGTTTATTCTTCATGAGATGTGGCAGGATTACATACATATGAAAGACACAGTGATAGCCATGCTTAGAAAGTACAATTTGCCACACTCAGCTTTCTTTCACTTCCATCATAAATGATTTTTCATTTTCTGCCTTCTCTCTAGGTTCTGTATTATGTTCCCAAACATCTCTGTCATTGTTCACAGGTGATTATCTTTCAGTGCTCTGCATATCATCTCTCATCATATATTTATGTATATGGTTTCCTCTCAGCTTTGTGACTTAGGTTTTTTCCTCCAGAAATTCCAAAATAGCAAAAATACTTTTGCTTCTGTATATAAAGATTTATAGGGATTTATGGAGCCACTGCACGTCTCTTTGTTTCTGGGACAGTATGCCTTATTCTGCATCACAGCAGTTTCCTCCCATAACTCAAGAGGTTAGCTTATCTTCTGGCCTCTGCCCCACTGTGACAAGACTCTCAATCCACTCCATGTACTATTCCAGAAACAAAGATGGATTGGGTAAAGTACGAAGTGGTAAATCATGTAGAGGAAAAAGGCACTTAAATATTTTTACTAATTAAGTAACCCCAAAACCAATCACTCATAAGTTCACATTTTCATCTATTGAAAATAATTATAGCAACAGTAGGCATCTGCCAATAATAACATTCTTCAGAATGTGACATTGTTCCACTATATATGCTATGAATGGTTAGTGTCTTTATTTAGAGTTAATGTAAATAAATGTATTACTGACAATTGTTTCTGATACTCTGATTCAACCCCGCCAGTAATACTTACAGCTGTCATGATACTTTTGTAAGCCCATCTGCCATGTGAAGAATGGCATCCTTATAGAGGATTATTCACTCCTATTTGAAAATTCCATTTATAGCTTTTTATTCACACAAATATATTGGGGGAGGACGGGGCAGTGTGTTTCCATAGAGTTCTTAGCAATAATGAGCTAAAATTTACCTTTTTATCAACAACTCCTGAAATATGTAAAATTTAGTTGCCACAAAAAAGTATTTTGTCTAGCATATTCTTCTTATAATTGAAAAGCCAGTCACCAGAGCCTTCAAATTCTATTTTTATAATGGTAAGAATTCTAAGTTGTTCAGTAATCTTAGTTACTTCCAATTCAGGAAAAAAGCCAAATTTTTTTTAGCCTGTAGCTGACTCATAAAGTCTTTACAGCCCATAGGAAAGAAAGAGAGGTACATTTTTAGCACTTTAGGTACAAAACTATATTATGCCATTAATTATCATATCAGGATTATAAGAATAGATAAAAAATAAAAGAAAGGGAAAGATGAAGGATGATAGGAATTTATAATATACATATATATTTTTCACCCAGGTTTATTTCATGTTTTTAAAATATAGGTTATTTAAGGGAGATTATTGTAATGTAAAAACCTCACCAAGATAAACATAGTGCAGGAGTTTTCATCTTAAACAGACAAATGCATATATTCCCTATTGCATATTATTTTTGTATCACTCCTGGTTGTCAAGCTTCAGAATACAAATCTGTTCAACCCTCCTTCGTATCTCTTTGGTCTTCACACCATAAACAATGGGGTTAAGGGCAGGGGGCACAAGGAGATAGATGGTAGACAATAAGATGTGGACATAGGGTGACACTTGTCCAAAACGGTGGCTGAGGAAGGAAAAAAAGGCAAGGATATAAAACTCCAGGAAGACAACAATATGGGCAGTACAAGTGCTAAATGCTTTAAGTCTTGCCTCCTTCTGGGAAAGACGAAAAACAGCCTGAAAAATTAGAATGTAGGAGATGAAGACAGAGATCATGTCAAAACCCAGGATAGCAAAAGCTACAAAGAGCCCGTATGATTTGTTAATATAGACATCTTCTGCGGCCAACTTGACAACAGCCATGTGCTCACAATAGGAATGGACAATAACCACAGACTGGAAAAGTTGCAGTCGTTTCAGTAGAATAGGTAAAATCCCGACAAGCACCGTTGCCCGTATTACCACAATCAGTATCATCTGAACTAAAAAGAAAGGTGTGAGGATGGATGTGTGCCTCAAGGGATTACAGATGGCAACATAGCGGTCAAAAGCCATGGCCAACAGGATGCCAGATTCCATACCCTGCAAAGCATGAATGAAGAAGAGCTGGGTAAGGCAAGCATCAAAAGCCATGGAACAAGAGCCAAACCAGAAGATGGCCAACATCTTTGGAGCAATGGCTACACAGAGAGCTAGGTCAGTGGCTGCCAGCACTGCCAGGAAAATGTACATGGGTTGGTGAAGACTGCGTTCTGTAGGGATGATGATTAACAAGAAAATGTTCCCTAGAAGAGACATGAGGCATACACCAAAAAAGGGAAATCCAATCCAAAACTGCACATGCTCTAGTCCAGGGATCCCAATCAGGATCACTGTTTTTGGGTTCAGATATGACATGTTGGTAGATTTCATCAGGTTGGCAAATCCTGTCCTCACCACTGAGTCCATTACCTATTCAGAGAAAAAATTGTGGATAAGAAGAAAGGAGGGAGTTTTCCTCACCATTTCTCCTTGAGCATGAAAAACATGATGAAAATGTGGCCACTTGACTTTGAATCTTTGGGAATCCATTTAAGTCAGTATCAGAATAAGATTCTTTGATATCTTTCTCCAAAGTCAATAAGAGTGTTTGGGAATGAGGAACATATATCCAGTGTTTATCACCTAGAAATTCTAGAAATGGGAATTATGATTCTAACAGCATTGACCTTGCTGGGTTTTGAAAAGTTCTCAGATGGTGTCACAGGTAACATTAACTTTTTTGTGCATATCCAACTCCTAACTCCAGACACACTTCAGATTAGGCAAAATTTCTCTGTGAAACTTGAAATTGTAGACTAGATCTTTAATCCCAATGTCTTGTTCATTTTGTTCAAAGCTCAGAATCCCCAGAGAGTGGCAGCCTTTCCCTTTTCTTTCCATTTTCTCTAGTATAGGAACTGAAACATCTGCCCACAAACCTAACAAATCGACTTTCAGATGAGGAAGTGAAGAGTGTTGTTCTTTCAACAAATATTGATTGATTTGCTTATGTACAGGCCCATTATCTGGGTTCTTGGAAGTGATCTGGAGGAGTTGCTTTTGTCAGTAGTGGAGGAGATATTTGACTTACTGAGATAATTCTGGTCTATTAGATTTAAAAGTGGTTGTGTAAAACAGTGGGGTAGAAGGTGATGTAAGTACTCACAGATCTTATAGGAGACAGAAAGTAGAGAAGATAAATAGGAAGTCAGTTGAATTAAAGGCACAATTAATTAGGATGGAATAGTAAAACATACAAATTGGCCTATTGGTTGAACCCTGTAGCTTAAATATTTTGATGACATTAATGTGTTTCAGATACAAAAGGGCAAGGCTGGCTGTGGGCCACACTACTATTTATAATGAAGTTCAACCTAACCTAGGTGCTTTCTTTCATTGTAATGCTATCAGTTGGCAATAAGAATAAATTATGATATTTCTTATTATATTGGTTCACTTCACATCCACTCCAAACTTCTGATATTTTGATAATATTCCAACTCTTTTTCTTTAGAAATCTACTCACTAAAGCCTAAAAAACTTTATATACTCTGTTTTTTCTTTTTCATTAACCATTCTACAAACTTAACATCATCCAAGGGTTTTATTTTATCTTCCTTATAATTTTGTCATAGCCACATACATTGAATAGGAAATATAACTCTGAATGGGAGCTTCTATATTTTTCTTTAAAGAGTAACTAGAGAAATTACTGCTGTAAAATTATAGGGAAAAAGTGGACTGGTTCACAGTCAGTAGGAATATATACTTGGGTATAACTTGAAAGTCCCTGACGTAATAAAATACTTTCATAGTTGATGAAGAGGAGATCTTGTTATATGAGCTTTGGTAGCTACATTCATCAGTAGACTATATCTAAGGCAATAAAGAGATATAGAATAAAAACATTTTGAAATTTTTCGAAAAGAAATTCCCTTTGCTGCCCATATACAATGAGGTTAGGAAGGGGAAATGTGGATTCCCTAAAAGTGATGGTGATAAATATGGATATATCTTGTTATTGTGACATGAACATACAAAGAGCATAGTTCTGATATGCAAACAAAACAATCCATACCCCTTTATCTGGCCCATGCACTCCAGGAGGCAATTTTCCTCTACCTTAATCAAAGGTCGCCAAAATTACTCAAACTAGTCAATGTTAAACTGTTCACCCTTCCCTGCCTTTGCTGTGGAAAATCTAATAAAGGCCTTGGCTTAAGCACCTTAGCTCCACCACCCCCCCTCCTCCTTCTGTCTCAACTCCCAGCCCCATAACCCTATCCCTTGGTGGTTTTCTGTTGGACCCTGCAAGGCCTGCTGTGCCTCCTGTCTCTAGGACTGGTTGGTATAATAACCTGTTTTCCTGAGCCTTTCCTTTGTCTTCTCTCATGGCTGCATCTGACTGATCATCTCATAACAAACAGACAAATTCAGTATTTTGAAATCATGGGAAAAGAATTTAGAAATATAACATTATCTAATAATGCTGGATCTATCTACTTCCTCACATGGAATCTTGTCCAAATTTCTTAAGTTTACTTGAGAATAATAATATCATTTGGGAGTAATAATATCACTTCATTCATTGAATTATTGGAAGGGCTAAACAAGTTTACATATGAAAAACTCAGCACAGAGTATGGAAGAAAGTATTTACTCAATATTTGGTAACTAGTGCTTCTCAAAACTTATAGAGCACTTTCGTGAAGACAGAGATGCCTTGCTACCTTTTTTTTTTTTTTTAATATATCTTTATTGATTTCAGAGAGAGGAAGGGAGAGAGAGAGGGAGAGAGAGAGATAGAAACATCAGTGATGAGAGAGTCATTGATCTGCTGCAGCCCGCAACCCAGGCATGTGCCCTGACGGGGAATCGAACCCTGATCACCTGGATCCGAGGTCGACGCTCAACCCCGGGGCCATTACTACCTTCTTAAGGAAGTATAAAACAAAATACAGAAATGAGGAAACTTTCTGAAGATTAACAATCCATTGTTAAAAGATTATCAATCTAGTCTTAGGTAGATGGAAAACATATGAATAGGAAAACCAGTTTCCTAAAAGTGTTTAGATTAAAAATATCTTCTAAGACAGCAAAAGCACACATATTAAACAATTTATTTTTCTATGATAATCAGATCAGAAAATGTCCATTCTTGGACTCTGAGTGAAAGAGAAAGAGAAAGGAATAAAAAGATATCTTAAATGGAGGCAAGGCAAAGTGTTAGAAACAAGAGACAGAAAACATAAAAATAAATTTAAAAATGAGGTTTTAATGCCCCAGATAAAGAATAGACTGTATTTCATATCAGGGGACAGGATATGAATTGTAGTTACAGTGGCAACAAGACCAGATACCAAAGCTCTTCAAGTAATGATAGGATGCTTCTATCTTTGACTTTATTTTTACATATTTCAAGCTCTCCTGCTCAAACTGCAAGCACACACACACACATTTTCCAAACCACAAGACTATCTCCTTTTCTAATGTTTACCTAGAAGAGAAAGCTGAAAACCTTATTTTCCTCTTGCCCTGCCACTAATTAACTGGAATGTGCCAGTTCTGACTTTCCTTCAAATGTAATTAAGAAGATAGTAGTAGCTCATCTTTGCACCTCTTCCATCTCTAACTGACAGGAATCTAATCTATCTGCCTTATTAATGATAAACTTGAGTAAGAGGGAAAAAGGTGACATGCCAAAAGAAAGTGTGTTGTTGAGAGATACAGGGTCAAGATTATTTAGCCCGGCCGGGCATGGTTCAGCGGTTGAGCATCTTCCTAGGATCCAGGCAATCAGGGTTCAATTCCCGGTCAGGGCACATGCCCGTGTTGCGGGCTCGATCCCCAGTTGGGGGCGTGCAGGAGGCAGACGATCAATGACTCTCTCATCATTGATGTTTCCCTCTCTCTCTCTCTCTCCTTTCCTCTCTCTGAAATCAATAAAGATATATATTAAAAAAAGATTATTTAATTCACTGTCCTTTCCACTCCTGTTAAAATTTGCTCCAATTAGAAACTTTGAGCAATACACAGGTCCCAATTCATGGAGAAGAAACTCACCCAGAAAAACAGATAGCTGGCCAGAATATACAATTAGTGGATGACAAAGTCCTTTTCTGCCAGGCTTTGGATTCGGAAAGGTATTAGCTACTGTCTTTCATCAACTGTCTTTAGCTGTTGCTTTTCTTGGCTTTAGAATCTTACCTGATCCCAGTGCAATTTTCAGACCTGGCCCTAGAGAGGTCATTACACTGCTGAAACTCAGCTCTCTTTTATAGGAGAGAGGCAACCTTTGCCTGAAGGCAGGTACCAGAAAGCACTCAGTTACCTCATGAGTTGATTCCAAGAAACAAGAACCAGGAAATCTCAAATTATGGCTCACTTTCAGAGCAAGGTGAATCAAATCATTTGGAGTGTGAGGAAAGAAAATCTGAGAAATGAAAAATTTGTAGTCTGAAATGAAGGAAGACAGTAATTTAGTCCACTTTCTGGCCTATGGCCAGAACTGTAGCTTAAGAAAACAAAAAATATATTTATCTTTATAAATATAATGTTACTGTTTTATATATATTTATTGTATATTAATATATAGGGAGAAACATAGCTATAAGAACTTTCACTGTTACTATCACTACCACTATCATTCTTCACATTAAGGATATAAAACGTTTGTCTTTTTGTTTGGTTTGGTTTTGTTTTTTGAAACTGAAAAGTGCTATAATAATTTTAAACAACTTTATTAGTGGTGATAGTGGAAGTAATAATAATAATAATAAAAGTTTTATAGCTGTAAGTTTCTCCATGTATTTTAATATATCATATATTTATATAAAGTAGTAACATATTTATGAAAACAGTATGGAGCTTCTTCAAANACGTTTTATAGCTGTAAGTTTCTCCCTGTATTTTAATATATCATATATTTATATAAAGTAGTAACATATTTATGAAAACAGTATGGAGCTTCTTCAAAAAATTAAAAATAAAACTTCTTTTTGACCCAGTAACCTTACTTCTGGGAATATATCCCGAAACATCAATCAGAAAGAATATCTGCACCCCCATGTTCATAGCAGCATTATTTATAATAGCTAAGATCTGGAAACAGCCCAAGTGCCCTTCAGTAGATGAGTGGATTAAAAAAGCTCATCTTTATTACACAATGGACTGCTATGCAGCTATAAAAATGAAGGCACTTTTACCCTTTGGGATGGATGGATGGACATGGAGATTATTATGTTAAGCTCAACTAGCCAGTTAGAGAAAGACAAATATCACATGATCTCACTTATATGTGGAATCTAATGAACAAAATAAACTGATGAACAAAATAGGTCCAGAGGCATGGGTGCATGGCACAGAATAACAGATCTCAGGAGGAGGGGGGT